AACATCAAATTACTACGTGAAACAAGTTGGTTGCTTCTTGTCACACGACGCTTTATACGGCACGTAGGCAAGCTGTGCGAAAGCCGGCAATACACTTCAACACTATACTACCGAACTCGATAATATTGGCTTTGATCCTTGGAGAAGTGGTAGTGGTGCTCGCGCAATGTTTACCCGCGGTTTACCCATAGCAAACTTTATCACACATGTTTGTTATATGCGTATAGGCAGGGCCGCTATTTCATTATTAGATATACATGAGGGGAAAAATGTTCTTCCATTATTTGTAGGATCTTTTTTTTTCGCAATCATTTTGCGAAAAATATCCATAAGAATTTAATTTGATTTTGAGTTTCATACAAAATTGTTTTTAATTTAATAAAAATTCTATTGCTGATTCAGAATGACACATCCAGATGGCGTCTCTCTCGTTTTCATTGGCTGTACTGCTCAAGGTCATAGGATAGCCAATGAAATCGAGGACACGTGACACTAGAACTCCGTGTGGGCGTCTCCATTTCATAAAGAGGTCACATCTGAATCTCTTATCAAAGGGGTTTCTTTCTTCACTGAAAAATAATTCTGAAATTTAGAATATAGGTACCTATTTTAGAATATTTTACACTTAAATTCAGAATTTATTCTTAAAATTAGAATATATTCTTGTTACTTAGTATTATAAATTCTAAGAATATATTCTAATTTTAAGAATAAATACTGAATTTAAGTGTAAAATATTCTAAAATAGATCCCTTATATTCTAAATTTCAGAATTATTTTTCAGTGAAGAAAGAAATCTGTTTCATAAGAGATTCGGATGTGACCTCTTTATGAACTTGTGTAAAAGTGGAGACGCCCACACGGGGTTCTGGTGTCACGTGTCCTCGATTTCATTGGCTGTCCTACGACCTTGAGCAGTACAGCCAATGAAAACGAGAGAGACGCCATCTGGATGTGTCATTCTGAATCAGTATTTGGTTAAATTTTACTAATTCAAAAGCAGTGAAATTCTATTAAATAAAAACTAACAAATTAATTTTAGACATTATCCATGCTTAATAATTATTTAGAAATATCATTTCATAATCGAATGATTAACAAAATTGAGTTTAAAGGATCGAAATAACGAGGATTTTATTTTATTTTTACTTTCCTATATTGTCGATCACATATATTATCATATAGACGAGTATCTAGGTGATGGAGAATTGAAAAAAAGTCTTCCGCGACAAAATTCAATCTTCTTATATACATTCCTTTATAGAATCATTTTATATATGAGAGATAAATAAGTCGCTACTTTTCTTCTAGATAAATAGGAATTGCAATTTGAATTTTTTTCGCAATGTTTTTTAAATAATTATTGCTATAGTTAATTTCAATAATATGGGAAATTAAATATTTTATTTCGAAATTTATTTTTCGTTTTATTATTGAAAAAAAGAGAGTTTTTTTCTCTAAAAAATGTTGCATATATCCACAAAGGCAACAGGAAGTATTGATTTTTCTACAATCTTTTATATCTTATAACTGGCATTGTTCCATCGTAGATGGTTTCATGAAATAAAATAAATAAACAAAAACATTTTTAAGCATATTCCTATAGTCTTCAATATTTTTATATTCTATTGTTATGAGTTTTATGAATAGAAAAGTAGAAGAAACGAACTTATAAAATCTGTTTTACAGTAAAAAAATGAATTTTTTTATTGAAATATTTTTTTTATTAACGTTTGACAATTTTTTTTTTCCTTAAATGCATTGTTTGAAATATACATATTATTCTTTTTACAAAAAAAAAAAATTCCTCAATCCCTATATATGAAATCCCAAAAGATTCAACAAGACCGACTCATGAAGCCTTTTGAAACACAACAAATGCTGTAATACTTTTTAATACCCTTTGAAATCCAAAGTTTTTAAAGTGACTTTTCCCTTTTGTGCGAAATTCTCTATATATTTATTTCCCATGGTCAAAAGTTTCATCGTAGAATTGACAAAACTTTTAACAAGTTTCTTCTTTTTTTGCCATAAAAATTTTTGTTCTTTCTAAAAGTTCAAATTTTTATTTTTTTAGTGTCCTATATGAAAAAAAATTTAATAGTCTCAAATATTGGAAACAAAAATATAGTAACGCAAATTGTATTTTTTGAATATAAAGAGAAAAAAATTATTATTTTTTTTTTATTCGGAACTAGGGCAATAATTAAAACTAAAAAAAAAAATTGTTTTTAATCGATTTCGTCCCTGGAGAACAGAATATTTTCAAGACTGATAATGTGGATGTTAACGTGCTTCACACGTGAATGAAAAACACGCAGTGAATGGTAGAGTGCATTTACGCATGTATTATTGAAGTGATGAATCTATAATTGAAAAGAATTTGCAAAATAAAATTCCCCATTTTTCGAATAATAATTTAAATATATTTTATTTTTTTCAAAGAAATTTGTTTATTATTCGAAGATTTTTCAATTAAAAAGCAATTAAGTTGTTGATATTATTAAATAGCATGCGCTAATGTTGAGTTTATTTTTAGATTATTGTAATGTAAAAAAGTTATTTTTTATCTTAAGTATCTTTAAATGCTTCTTTTTTTTAATTTAAAGTTTATATTTTTATATTCCCTTAAAAATTTGAAAGATTCTTTTATAAAACATTTTATCTTCTAATAAAAATTTTCCACCTTTTTTTGTGTTAGAAAAAAAATGTCGTTGTAATTGTGTTATTTTGTCATTATTTGGGTATTGCTATATTGAAATAATTACCGTCGGATATATAGATAAAGTCACAAGTTCTATTTTATATAAAGACAACAATAAAACGTATATTATTAAGGCTTAAGATGAGTTTGACATTTTAATCATTCTAATCATTATGATAAATCAGTGTTCCATTTTATTGTAGATTATCTTACAATATGTGTGGCGCAGTAAATGTTTAAAAAAATTTTTTTTTTTATATCCTATATTTTGCCAACAAAAAATCATTTGATTAAAATTTTCTTTGAATATATATTTTTTTTTATCAAAACTCTATTAATAATGCAATAAATTATAAATAGTTGTGCTATTGTCATTTCCTTGCGCTTGTTCTTTATTTGGTAAACAAGAAACCGCAATTAAATTATAGACATGGCTTTAATTTCTTTTTTAAATATCATAATAATTTTTATCTATTGTAAAATATAAATAAAGTTTATTGTGGATAAAAATGACGTAATTTAAAAAAAGGAAAAAATATAAAAGATTGCGGTGGCTCATTATTGGTTTATATTAAGAGCATTGATCTTCTATCAGAGAGCAGAAATTTCTCCTGTCAAGGATTATGCTTTTAATAGAAACTTTTTTATATAATAATTAACTTATAAATTCATATAATGATCGATTCATTGTGAATTATGAATTAAATGTTTGAATTTAATCGTTTTTTAAAAATTGCAATTAAACTCGTTTTTTTGTAAAAGTTTTTAAATGAAGAAAAATGGAAAACAAAAATAAAGTAATTTTTACTATACTTCCAAAGTAAATTTAGGCTTTACTTTGGAAGTATAGTAAAAGTTACTTTATTTTTGTTTTCCGTGTATAGGTAAATCGTCGCATATTATAAATAGATTTGTAATTATGAAATCTTTATAATAGCAAATAAAAGATTTTTTAATTCCTATTAGATAATATAAGACAAACGGCAATTAAGATATCTGAGTTTAATCTTGTGTCTTAACTATCATTATATATAGAAAGAGAGAATCCCTCAGTAATTAGCAGATGTGGTGAGATTAATCTAGATTTGAGACGCGCCTGTTTTTGAGATCAAAAGGAACGAATATAATATTGAGTTCTCTTTGGAGTTGGTTTAAAGATAGTGGAGATGTTCAAAGTTAAAAGGAAATGTCGTGTAATATGTATAATGTAAGCATTTTTAGTAGAAAAGAAAAACTATTTTAGTTACTAACTTCAATATTATTAGCTTTGTTATTTTATTTTATTTTACTAATCATTCATTGTGCCAATTTCTCGTTACATTCAAAGAATAAGAACGAAATGTTTGCCCTATTACAATGAATAGAATTATGCATCCGGTCCAATTCCATTTTATTTCATAAGTCTTAAAGAAGGCCAACAGCTAATATTCTCTTTATCTACTTAAATTTCAAGCAAATTATATACTTTTTCCTCTCTCCCTCCTCTTTAAAAATTTATTGTAGGTTTTTGATACTTGCGACAAACACTTGAAGAAATTATAGATATAGGTCGGTATATTATTGATAAGCGAATAAACAATGCGATGATCATTTTTAGATGATGGATTATACTGTGTCTAACCTTTATTTAACCTGATAAGAAACAGTATCGGATCGAAAGATCATAACAAAACAAATAGAATTACACTAAATTTTGTGATTTTTTTTGCGATTAAAACAAATCCTTGTTTTCAATACTGAATGTAAATATTCTGTTTATAATAATGACCTTTACGAACGTAGAATTTTTATTTCGTTTTGATATTTGTAACGAAACGAAAATAGTAGTTTCGATTTCGTTTGGTAAACGAAACGAAAATCCATCAGATTACTTTTCATATAGTAAACAATTCGAATTCACTTGTTTCACTTACAGAACCAGAAGTAAATCTGACGAATTATTGTTTCGTTCACCAAACGGAATCAAAAGTACGTTCCACTTTCGTTTCGTTCAACAAATCAAAATTAAGTTGATTTTTGATTCTGATTTTGGAATCATGAAGCAAAGCAAAAGTGTTTTTGTTTTGACTTCATGAAGGTTCCTGATGAAAACAAAATTTATGCCAAATGAAAATTATATTCATTTCAAAAACATAATACAGAATTTGTAAAATTAGTTCCATAATTTTTGGCAAAGATCTTGTTGATTTAGGAATTTTCTTATTTGGTTTGATGAAAATCGAAAAGAAAAGTTTTAAAAAATTGGCGTTTTTTATTTATTTGTTACACGTGATAGTGAAAGAAAGTCAATACTCACGTATTGAGTCTCCATTCTTCTTAGAGCTACTTTTGTTCTTCTTATTCTTGGGATAAATGTTACCAATCTTGCTCTGCCCACAACCCATTCTGTCCGATTAAGGAGGCTTTCCGCTCTTCGCAGAATCAGTCACCGACACTCACAAACACTTCTATTACACCTCTTTTTCACACTTTCTTTCATTTTCATTCGATGCCATTTAATTGATATAAATAATCCGAGAGACGAAATTTTCAAGTATAATCTTCTTCTGCAATTTTTATTTTCCTTTAGACAAATATAGATTTTATAAATATTGTTTATTCTGTTCGCGAATTATTATTTTATATAGTCACAATTTTTTAAATATGTGTATAAATATAAATTTGTACTTGTGTAACATTGATGTATTTTATATATAGGTATTATGTACGTAATGTATATGCATAATTAAATGTATGCATTTAAAGAGAGGCATTTGTTCTTATTGTTAGAGATATTTATTTTGAAATGTATTGTGTTATTTAGTGTATCGGTAAGAGAGAGGTATTTCTTTGAGAGAATTTTTCTTTCTAATTTTTTTCGTTTAGATATGTAAATGTTGCAAAAACGATAATATGTGCACACAATCTAATTTTCAGTCTTTCCATATCTTTAAATTTCTCTTGTCTGTACAATCTGTTCAGTGTTATATTTACATATAGATTTCTTTTTTTGGTCACCTTTTTATTAGTTGTTTTTTTGGCTACCTAAGTAAAGGCAGCCAATCCATTTTTGGATCTTAATACCTCTCTTTTCGCCTCATTCTTGATTTATCATCATATCATCTAACCAATGTCAAGCTTAACAAGTGAATCATCGTTCCCTCTTTCGTCTTCGGCGCACATTCACAATTCCTTAAATTGGCAATATTTCAAACCAAAAAAAAAAAAAAAAGTTTCCTTCCCTTTTGTGCCTGGGAAATAATTGTCAAGGCAGAACTCGTAATACGTGGAGAGGGATTGACATTTATTTATACTTCGAGAATGTTCTGTTCTCCCCTATTTGGAGGAGATATGGAAATTTTTTTTTCCCTAATTTTTTGTTTTTGAACTTTAAATTGATGACGTTCTGATTTTTAGTTTGTTGATGATTTTTTCACCTTGATGATGATGGATTTACGGTTTCAGTCTTGAATATATTTTGTTAATGTCGAATAGAAGGTGAAAAAAACAAAAATTGGAGCAAGGTGGTTCTCTCACACAATGAGCTTTTCTGAGGCGTCTCTCTCTCGCTATGATGGTCCGGCAGTAGATTGCAATTATCGGATCTGCAAAAGAAAATACACAATGGTTATCCACGTTCCGGGTTTAGGTTTATATTGGAGAATTCTATGAATTCGTGCATGTGTGGCTAGGATAAATAGACGATTGTGTGTGTGAAATTTGGAATAGCATCGCAGCTGCAGCTATTTGATCATTGCAGCTTTTGCTGTAATATATATATATGTGTGAGAGGGAACTCGATTGAGGAAAACACGAAATGAATGTATAGTGGAATGCGATATTCCACGATAGAAAATGATCCGTTTGTTCCAAAGATTATTCTACTATGACGTATTATAGTATTAAATAGAAAGCAATAAATTAATCCCCTTGATCAGAAACAAAGATTTGCGAGCTCAATTATTAGAAAATTATATTAATATTTTAAGAAGGATGTTCTAACAAATTAATTTTAGCCATTATTTATTCATGCGTCCCTTTTTTATCGTTGTTTTCTATATATGTGTGACTATTTTTTGACCCAGGTGATATGAAATTATATTTAATTAGCAAATTTAAATGTTTTTTTTCCGAAACAAATGAAAAAAAAAATATATTAGCACATACGAAGAACATTTAGGGAAACTGACAGTGATTTAGATCACTAAATACATCAGTTTTGCTCGATATCTTCAAGGGAAACTCGAACGCGTTACCGATGTGTAATTAAATTCAAGTACGTCAGGCCAAACTGAGTTATAGTTCCACCACACGTGTTTATGTACACAATTTCTTCGAAAGAAAAACTCGAATTCATTATAGTGATGTTGCTAAATTGGAAAAAATTAATAGAATTCCAATTCGTAATTAAAATTGCAGACTTATAATATTTATTTTCTTTTGTATTTATTATCTTAATGTGACGTAATTATATACTTAAAAAAAATTTATTTCTTACTATTTTAGTTAACAAAAAATAAAGTTTACTCAAAAAAACAGATAAATAGACAAATTACAGTATTTAAAATTCGAATAAATAAACAGTTTTGATTGCATCATTTTAAAATTTCTTCGCAGTTCAATAATTATAAAAGATAAATTACAAGATGATCTTTGACCATACGATAGACATTAAATAACGCGATTGAAGATACATATATTAAATATGCGCAAAGGAATTGGCAAATAATATCGTTTTAAACATTTTTATTGTTTTTATCTTATCTATAAATATATATGAAAAACGATCAGTTTTAGACAATGACAAATTTAATGAAACGTATTAAATTTTCCTTTTTTTTATTATTATCGAAAAATAAGAGATGAGATTTTTTTTCTTTTGTTAAAAAATTGCCTGAGCTTTCTTACACACAATTAGATTAATCATTAAACTTCCATTATATACGATTTAATTGGATAATAAAGAAGAAGATACTTTTTTTTATATGAAACTTTTTTATATGAACTGAAATGCTTTAATTTGTTTCGACTTCCCCCTATATAGATATATACACGTTCACTTCCGTTTATATAACTTATCTTCTTCCTTTTAATCCTTTTTCTTTGATGATAAACATACAAACTCATTACTGACTTTATATAATAATATATTTTATTTTTTATAATATTCCTTTTAAGTTTTAATTATAAATTATATATAATAATACAATAATAATTATATTATTATATTATTAATATTATATTTAATATGAAATATAATTATTATTTTTGTCAATACCTTTTCGCATATTATATATATTAATTAGGATACTAAACTCGCTAATTAGTTGTAAATCCATCTAATTATTTTTTGCAATTGAAAACGACTAAATAATTTCTTATAAAAACAAATTCCACACGTTTCATATAAACTCATTTTGGTATCACGAGAAAGTCACTTATAACTTTGATCAAATTTTCCGCTAGTGACCATGCTATATAATTGTAGATAATTTAATTATTTCGCATCAACGAACAAAGTATCGGTATATGACGTATCGGAAAATTTATGAGTCCTAAATATTGTGATATTCTACGTAAAAATAGTTTAATCGAAAAAAAAATTTTCCAAAAAATTATTATTACGTAAATCTAAATTAATTAAGAAATGTAAATTACCAAATTTAATGTTGCCGTTAACTATAAATATATATGGGAAAAAATTTTTGGAAAATCATAATTTAATAAAATGATGTTATTTTCTTTTTTGAGATATTAATTAATTAATTAGTTAATTAATGTAATATTTTACGAACAAATAAAGTTATTCGTGACTCTAAATTTACCAATCGAAAGCTTATGTAATTTCACATCCAACGAGCCCTTTATATGAAGTATTCCGAATTGATGAATTTTAAATAAACAATTGCAATGCTAATTGTTTATTTAAAATCCACCAATCGAAAATACTTCATGTAGGGCACGTTGGATGCGGAATTACATAAACTTTTGATTGGTAAATTCAGAATCACGATAACTTTATTTATTTGTAAAATTAATTAATTAATAATATTTTTTTTTAAATTTGAATCGCTTCAGAAATTTTGCCTCTATATATATATATAATATATACGGTATATCATGCTATGCAATGCATTAGGATTGTTACACGTTTGATAATAGTAATCTTAATGTACTTAGTGAAGCACTTAGTGAAGTGCATTATTATTTCATCCAATCACATGTCTTGGTTCATCTGGCAGCTGATTTATTGAATTGCAACCGCCCTTTTTAGCGCGCATCAATAGAAATATTGTCTCTTTGTAATTTGTCATTTTTGTACATAAACAATTTTATCTCTTATTTCCATATTTTCAAAATGGAAATTTCAAAATTATACTTTCTATAATTTTTTTTTTCCAATTGATATTTCATTAGTTTAATAATAGAGAGTCGCACAAAAGAAAAAATAAAAACAATTCGTCCAATTAGTATAATATACTTTTTATTTTTTCTTTTTGTTATAACATTATTTTGAGAGATGGGTCAAAATACGTGATATTTTATTTAACCTCAATTTATCTTACAAATGCGATGACACGTTTTGTTATATAGATGTAGTCACGCGATTACTTGCGACAAATTACAAACCCAGTCCCATTTCCCATTGCATAGGTCAGTAATGCGCGTATATATATGCATATGAAAATATTTGCCAAAATTTCCTGATATATATGTGTGTAAGTTGCCATTTAAATTGCTTTTGACTGAATTAAGTTTAGTTGGCATTTAATAGAATTATCATTTCTCCGAATTGCTATTAAGCTGAATTGACATTTAGCCGAATCTCTATTTAACAGAATTGGTACTTAAGAGGATTAAGACAAACTGCTATTAAGCCGTATTGACAGTTATAGCTAACTGCAAATATAGCTAAATAACAGTTCGCGGCTAAATTCAGTTAAGTAGCGATTCGGTTGAATGCAAGTTTGGCTAAATAAATGGCCAAATTCCAATTCAGCTAAATAGCAGTTCGGCTACTTAAAAATTCTGTTAAATGGCAACTCAATTTAATAAAAATTTAGCTAACTGTCAACACGATTTAATAGTATTTCGGCTAAATGACAATTCTGCTAAATTCAGTTGAGTAGCAATTCTGTTAAATGGAATTTAGGCTAAATAAATGGCTAAGTGTCAATTCAGCTATTATTGAGCTGAATTGACACATAGCTATTTATTTAGCCGAACTTCAACCGAATTGCAAATGAACTGAATTTTGTCAAACTGATATTTCGCCGTATTTCGTCGTTTAATTGTCATTAAATTGAATTGACATTTAACCGTCTTGTATTTGGAGATTGTTGAGCCTTCCGTAAATACGTATTACAGTTTACATAAATTATGTTTGCCGTATATAATACATATATATAATTCTTGGTGCCAAGTCGTCTCGTTTCTCGTCATACACCTTTTACCCTACCTTTTCGTCAGCGGTCTCAGAGTCTCTACCTAATCCTGCGATCCAATTACGTAATAGGATTTTAGATTTAACTCTAGATGCGCGTATGTGACAAGAAATAAATTTCAAAAAAAAAAAAAAAATCGAAAAATCATTATTTTTCCGTGACAATATTTATTATACTCTCGTGCTCCAAATCCATTTTGCCAAAGTTATGTTTTCTTTATGATAATATTTGGTATTTGTTGAAAGAATTATATTATTAATTAATTAAATTTCTATCAGGGAGAATTTTTAATTTCTAAAATATTAATTTACGAGTCTAAAATAAATGTTTTCCTTTTCTGTACCGGAAAATTTTTTTTCTTAATTTTCTTTTTCCGTGTTATTTAAAAACCAAAAAAAGGATTCAGAATTTTTTAGGGGGGAGGATTCCTGTACATTTTGATCACCCTGTATAGATATACAATATATCTTACGTCTTTATAAATTTAGAAAGGAATTTGATGAAGATTCAAAATTAACTCATGTGTCCTTGACTTGATGCCATGGATGGAAATCAGTCCTTTTTGCCCCAGGTACAAAGACCCTTCAAGTTATTTATAAAAAAAATTCTTCTGAATAAAAATTTGCATTCCAATATTTAAATTTATATTTTATTCGAATTCTTATATATATAAAGCAAAAATATTGTTTTGTATATTAAATTCCACGTGCCATTTTTAAAGGCCTATATGTCTAACAAAACTTTTATAGTGGAGCTTTTTCTTTTTTTTTAATTAAATTATCTCCCAGAAAGGAATATTGCGTCTAGTGTTTTAATAAAAATTAGATTTTATTTCATGTTCACTCGGACGTACAACTCATTAATATTTTATTATTTCATTACATTCCCCCCCCCCCCCTCTCTCTCTCACTCTCTTTTTCTCTGTAAAAAATTTAAAAGGATATTTTTTTAATGAGTCTATAACATCATTAAAAATTCTTTTATTTTGTTTTCAAATAAATAATGAGTATTTTATAAAAAATTAATTTTTAGTTTTTAACTATAAATAATGAGCACTTCAATATTTTTTCCATCTGCCTATCCCCACTCTTTCGGTGACAGTTTGATTTCTATATAGTCTCCCCCCCTCCACCATAGAAATCATATATAGTAATTTTTTATATTACTTAAACAATGTTTTATTCGAACATTGATTATTTTTTATTATCATTTTATATCATCAAACTTTTGTTTTTTCAATCGATCTTTTTTATTTAGTACAAACATTTTCTACATACCTATTGCACTGAAAAAGAAATTTATTTGATTCAAATAACCATCAAATAAATATTTACTTGGACTAAATAAATTTTTATTAAAATGTTTAGAACATTTTTTTTCATCAAAATAATTTTTTATTTGAATTAAATAAATTGTATTTGAACTAATAATTTCTGTATTTGAAATAAATGACATTTAATTGACTCAAATATAAAAATTATTTGACACAAATAAATATTTATTTGAATCAAATAAATATTTACTTGAACCAAATAATTTTTATTTGAATCAATAATTTCTGTATTTAAAACAAATGCTATTTAATTGACTCAAATAATAATTAATCATTTAATACAAATAAATATTTATTTTATAATAGTCAAGTAATCGATTATTTGAATTAAATACATTTTTTTCAGTGTTAAATATTTCACTTTATAAAAAATATTACCTAACAAAATCAACTTAATCATATTCATGAATCTTTAAATACATACTTTTGAGAATATTTAACGATGGAAACAGCAACAGTTTGTGTGATAATTTAAAAGAATCCAAAGATCACTTGATCACTAAAACATTTTTTTTGGTATATAAAAAATATATCAGAACATTTGAAAAAAAGATTTTAATTAAGCAGCAGGATTTTTTTTTTAATTCTGGTTCTTTTTTGTCCGGGAGATTTTTATTTATTGCCTTTTGGTATAACAAAAATGTAAATTATTATTTATTTTGAATGCAACAATTTTAAAATTTTCACCGCGACGACAACGTACGTGAATGTACGTGTGTCGATGTGATTGTATGCATACACATCCACGAGGTATTGCGTTAGTTTTTCTTTCAAATATTTTCTATTTTAAATAAGCAACGTAAATTGCGCGATTTTTTTTTATATTTTTTAAAGAAAGTGAAGATACACTCAGGTCGAGGCTCCAGAATCGACTGGCAAAGAATCGTCAGGAAATTTTGCACATGCGCATTTGTATTAACAAAAAGTTCGAACCTTGTGGTGTCACATGAAACGTACGGCGCGAGATAAATACTATGAAATTTTTATTATTTTTTTTTTTATATCCCCCTATGTCACCCACATTATATATATATTTACAATATGCGTTATTTCAAAAAGAAAAAAAAATTAAGAAACATTTTGATTATAATGCATGAGAATTAAAAACAAATTTTCATGCAATTTGAATTTTTTATTTTATTGATATTTAAGAAATATTCTATTTTTATCGAGGCACTGTAAATTTTTGATTGATTGACAAATTGAAAACGAAAATTTTATCATTGGGAAAAATTGATGATGAAAATATTTACAATGATTTTTTCATAAAAAATAAAAAGACTATTTTTTAATATACCTTTTATTTTTTGTTTTAAAATTAAATTTTTATTAAAATAATTAAAATAAATTTATGTTTCTGGTATTTAATTAAAGTATTTTATGAATTACGTTTTTATTTAATTATACTAATTATTTATTATGAATTATAAAAATTAATTAAATGATTAAAATAATTAAAGTAATAAAAAAATGTTTCTTTAATTTAAAATCTAGATCGAAGCAAAGGTTACTTTGGTTTAAGAATTGACCTGATTGTCAATAAATTAAGTTTAGTAAACCGCAGAGAATGGCTTAGGAAAATTATATACTGCGCACAAACTGTACACATGTATTTAATTTACAAAAAAAGAGAATTATTTTCAAATTATCCAATTATGTACTTGAAACAATTAATAATTTTAAATATTTTGAAATAATTAATTATTAATTATAATTAATAATTATTTATTAAGTACTAATAAATATTAGTACCTAATAAATAATTATTATTTGTCCACTGAAAAAAATCTTTACCTGAAACAGCGATATATTTCACTAATAAATTGAATGTTTTCGCTATTCCAGAGAAACATATTGCTGCTCCGGATAAAGATTTTTTTTCCTGCCTCTTTGTATTTTTAATTCTATTTTATAGTCAATTATTTTCTATTTTGAAAATTTTTTCTAATAATTGTTAAAATTAATATTTTTTAATTTTAAATTAAATTAGATAAAAAAAATAAAATACTTTATTTTTTTTCAAAATTTTGTTTTAGAAATTGACAGATCTCCACTCTTAATATATTATTCTAATCACGTGCAATTCAGGAAAGTCAGCAATCGATAAGGGTTAGTGTATTTGAGAAAAAAACGTGATAAGAAAGTTTAAGTAAGACATTAGGTGAATGTATAAATAATCAATGGTTTTTAGCGAAATTCCCCGTGTTTAATATTTTAAAAATAAAACGAAAAAATTTTTTTTTACAGAAATAGAAGTAAAAAATAGATATTAAATTAATTTTTTTAGGGGAAAAAAAGAAATTTATTTTATTTATTATGCAATTATTATTATTAAAACAAAAATGTAAAAAAAAATTATTAAGACTAATTCATATTAGTTTTTATTTAAATAAATTAATTTTCTTTTCAATATTATTTTTGTTGAAAGTGACATCCTTTCTTTATACTTACATGCATAACGGGTTGCAGCCTATAGGCGCCTGGTGCAAAGAAAAACATTAAATAAAAAATATTAAAAATGTCATTAATGACATAATTTGAATAATCATAGTAAAAAAAATACTAATCGCGATTTTAATTGTCTAAAAATGAATAATCTCTATATTTTAAAAAATAGAGATCTACTTTATTTTGACAGCAGTAGTGTCAGTGTGATTTTGTCAGTGTGTTTACAATCTTACGATAACAACAGGTGATGTGTTATTTTGAAATAAAAAATGGATTTCCAAACTTTCTTCAGCATCTTTGAAAGATGTAAAAAAGAAAGAAATGGAGAAGGACTTGTTGAGATTTTTAAAGACAGTCGTAAATATTTTCAAAATATTTCCGGCAGTGAAAGCGGTAAGTAAACATAACCTATATTAATGCGTATTATATTAATTATTTCAATTAAATAAACAAATTTTGACTCTAGTAATTTAAAATCTTTTTTAATGTTAAAAATTAAATTTAATTTAAATTTTTTCTTTGTATTATTAATTAAGTTATTAATTTAATTTTTTATTTTTCAGGTTATGTACTGGCAACTCTTTTTGATATTGATACCGGTATTCTTCGTTTTCTCCGAGATGAATTAGATAATGGTTTGAAATTAAAAATTTATGAATCTGTAATTATTCAAGGATTTCGTTTAGTTGAATTTGTCATGGAACAATTTCAAAATGAATATGAGCCATATATTATCAGTACAAAGGAACTTTGTGAATTCACTATTAAAGTAAGATGTGTTCATTATATTAGAAGAGCAGCTACATCTGTTTTTAAAAAGATCATAGAACTTTTCAAAGATTTTGAATTACTTCTCGGTGAAACTGTGGAGAGTTTTGGAAAATCATTATATCGTTATGATGAAAAAGGTATAATTTATAATAATTTCTTTTAGCTACGTAATTTTCAGGTCTCGGATTACATGAATTTTTTTCGAACTAAAAATAATTAACTAATTAAATTTAGTTAAAATAACAAAATCGCCTTTTTTTGGAATGTAAATTGACTAAAACGTTTTTTTTTTTAATCGATCCGAGGCCTGAATATTAAATAATAAAAAAAATACTAATTAGAAGGAAAATTATTAAAATTTCAGAACGAAGTGAAATTTTTATTATAATGGCAGCAATAGCTAAACATAATCCTCCTGATGTTGAAAGATTTTCAAATGCAATTTTTAAATATATTTTGGAAGACATGAATATTCAGTACAAAGATCTGTCTACAACTCAATCGGCAAGATTTCAAGAATATTTTGAAGCTTTAAAAGATTTAATGGAATGTTTTACACCATATCATAATGAAGAAAAAAGTAAACAATATTACGAACATGTTTATAAATATATAAAAAATATTTGTGAATTTGATGAACAAATTTATGAATCAAATCCTGGTAGACGTGATTATGGTGTTAAATTTTATGAGAAAAAAAAAGCTGCAAATCGAAATACACAATTAGCCGTTGAATTATTGATAAGACATTGGTCATTTTTTGGTTCATTAATTTATAAAGATTATAAATTTTGGCAAATGAAATTTGAATATTTATTGAAACAAAATGGAAGAACTGGCGAAATTGGTTGGCGTGCTATGAAAGCTTTTTATAAAGCAATTGCACAAGTATTGAAAAATAGTGATGCAAATGATGAAAGAAATATACTTTTGGTAAGAGATTAATTAATTAACTAAATTGTAAATTATTTATTATTTACTTTTTTTATTTTCAGTATTTTCAAGAATATTTTTTGAATCATCTTAAGAGGCTTGATTTAAATTCAAGTCTATTGCAACTAATTGTTTGGGCTTATAGTCAAATGGCTGAACCTTGTAAAAAGCATTTAACTATCAATGAAGTTTACGATATGTATTCGTTGATATCGAGAAGATCTATTTCACTCTATACGAGGTAATTTTTAAAATTGTACAAAACATTTTATTTTACAATTTAGTTTACAAATTATTTTCTTTTTTTTCAGCGACGATGCAAAAATTGAAGAAATCTCCTGTTATGTGGAATCAATTTCTGAAATTTTAATTCACTTACCAAATGTGTCTGTTAATCAAATAAAGTTACTATCAAAACTTGCGACACTTTTGATTAAACGATTTCCTGAATTAAAAATATTCATTCAACCAAGTGCAATTAATGGACTTATTAAATCAATCACTAATATTGGATATCTTAATCAAAATCTTCAACAGGAATATTTTTATGATCTAGGTATGTTTATTAAAATATTAAATTTTACTTAATTTTTGTTTCAATTTAACAAAAAAAATTTTTTCAGTTTACAATGGAATAATATGGTCGTGTTCACATACTTTGTACATTGATGCAGAATTGGTACGCAGTACATTAAAAGAAAGGCCAATTTGTTACAAAAATTATCTACCACTTTGGGAAGAAATATTTAATATAAATTATTACAGAATTGAAACTGGTCCACAAGTAATGAAACATTTATATAAGGAATTATTTTCAACATTAATATTGTTAATGAACAATTTAAATCTTCAAGTAAAAACAAACAACGATATAATGTTTTCCGATATCGCTTTAACAATGATACCAGAAAATGAAACTGATTTTCGAATTTTCATCAACATGGTCGATTTATATGAAGAATTATTTAAAAAACTTCATTTTTCCCAAATCAATGATTGGTTACCAAAAATTTTATATGAAATTGTAAAAAATTCCTATAAACATCCAATGGTCTCTGGATTTTATAAATTGGCACACACAATTCTTCGAATATCGGAAATTTATTGGAAATCATTGGATATAAATAATGAAACATTTATATTAATGTCGAAATTTTTATCAAGTACTTTGGATTTAATTTGTGGATTTAATCATGAATTGCAAATAGCGTGCGTTTATTTGATTTTAGATGCGCCTTTAAATTTAGTTGAGAAGAAATTAAAAGAAACAATTCCTGTTTTTAAAATTGCTTTAACTATTGGTTTGAGTGATTTTTCATTGGCTGCTTGTGCACTCGATTCACTTGAACAATGGACACGTGAATTAGCCGATGCTAATTTATTGAAAGAATTTTTGATGGAAATAATTCCAAGTCTCGAACCATATCTACAAAGTAAAGAAAGTGAAACAGAATTATTGCAAGATATTTTAAAAACACAGCGAAAAACAATAAAACGTGTTTTATTGAAAGATGAGACAAAAACTTTGGAAGAATTTCAAAGAAGAATTCTCTTATTTCTAGGATCGATATCATCGGAAATAACACAGAATTTCATTCATAGAAGTTGTGAGGATAAAAAAGCAACTTGGGATAAAAAAGATTTATTGGAATATACACTATTTTTTCCCGATCAAAGACTTTATATACATTTTGATAGAATTTTACCACGTGTTATTGAATTGGCATTAAGTTCAGGTGACAGAAGAACAAGAATGTGTGCCTGTGAAGTACTTCATTCGTTAATTGTTATTATTCTCGGTAAAACAAGAGATATTGTCAATAGACCAAATCCAGATCGTTTTGCACATTTATATAAAATTCTTTGTCCAGCAATGTTAAAATTGGGTTCTGATTCTGATTTAGTTGTGAGACAATTATATTATCCAATATTTTTACAATTAACACATTGGTTGAGTTCAAAATTAATGTTAAAATCGCCGTCAACTATTTATTTTGTTGATTCACTATTTGATGGTTTAACTGATAAATCAAATTCGTCGTTAAGAGATTTTTCTGGATTATGTTTAAGGGAATTTCTCGATTGGTCAATTAAACAATCATCGGATAGAGATTTGGCAAATTCAGCAATAAATATTCATACAATTGTGAGAAAAATTTGCACATACGCACAACATCCATCACAAGAAAGAAGAATTGCTGCTGCAATTGCATTTAATCATCTTTATTCAAGTTTACGTGAGCGTGAGGAAATTGTCAATATTTATTGGTTGGAAATTTTCTATTGTATTGTTAAAAGTTCCGAGGGTTTAAACGATTTGGGAATTAAAAATGCAATTGGACATCTTGAAAAAGTTATGAAAATTAAGGCAAAACTTTTTAATGGAGAAAATTCGAAAAGAAGAAAACCAATTGAATTTGAGAGGGGAAATTTAAAGAGTACATTAATTTGGCTTTTGACACAATGTGGATCTGTTGATCGAAATTATCGGCAAAGTTGTATGAAATTATTTGAGAATATGCATTCATTTGTAGGAGAAAATTGTGTTGAATTATATTTGAAAAAACATGGAATTGAGGGTTTTAATTCAATTTTTTTGAATAAATTGAATGAACAAATTTTTGATATTTCTCTCGAAGTTGTGAAACCATTATTACGATCACTCGATTGTTATATTTGGTTTTTGGAAAAGAAATGGATTGATTTCAATTTAATTTTTAATGAAGAAAATTCAGAAAAGCTAATTTTTTCCTATACCAATGATTTTATTAAATGTTTTATGAATCGAAGGGAAATTGAAGAAAATTGTCTATTGATTACAAAAGAATTGGAATTGTTAAAAACACTCACGTGTGAAACTATTGAAACAATTTTTTCATTTTGTCACAAGATTCTAACAACTGTAAGTATTTTATTATAACTAAATTTGTTTAAAAAAAAATTTATAATTTTTGTTTTTTTTCAGGACGTTATTTCATTTGGAGAAATTCCGAATTATTTTTGGAGTGAGGATTTATTTTCTTTAATATCGATTTGTGTGCTAAATCCACTAAAAGTGGGATTCGATACAAAAAATTTGGAAATTATTGAATCGCTACCACTAAAAATGAATGAATTATTGAATGTTTTAAAAAATAAAGCACCAAAAATTCTCTTGGAAAATTTTTTACAAGAACTAACGAAATATGTGGAAAATTATTATCAAACAATTATAAACATAAATGAAAAAATCGAAATCGAAATGGAATTGAAATACAATGTCAAAGGATTTATTTTATTGGAGAAGGAAAAATATTTGGATATTATTTTAAAGGATGAATTTTATCAAGTAAAGGAAAAATTATTTGAAGAAATTTTCAATGTACTTCAATGTGAAGAGGAAGGAGAAAGAAATGCAGTTTTTTTAAAACCTGATAAAGTGGAATATTTGGAAAGTGTTTTAGAACTTGTATTCACAAATTATGAATCTAATTTAATTACATCTTTAATTAATTTCATAATGAAGGATGATTTACTGATTAATCAGGATATGACAACTTCTAAACATGGTGAATATTTTTTGAGTGTTTTTAAATCGGCAATTTTTAATGGAATGTTGAAAAATATTCAAGAAACAATTAAAATAATGGAAAATTTACTTGAGAAAAATCCGGATAAATTATTAATGATAATTGAAGAGTTAGTGATATTTACATACAAGAATAAAAAAATTTATCCCATTGAATCTGAATTATTGGCAAATGAAATTCTTAAACTTTGTTCTTTACTGGAAAGAATAGTAACGAATTTTGAACATCGTAGGAAGCAATTTTTGAATATTTATCGAATTGTCGTGCGTCTTAAACGAAATCCTTTGGAAATTACAAATAATAAACATGATCTTTATTTGTGGATTTTGAAGAAATTACAGGAGAATATTGATTTGGAGAAAAAAGCGGCAATTTTGGATGATTTTTTAATTTGTCTCACTGATATGAATAGTAATAGTGATGTTGTTTCTTTAACATTGGGAAATTTGAAAAATGACAGATCGGAAAATATTTCTGATAATGATATTAATTCTCTAAAAGCAATTGCGTGTTTTCAAACAATGCTTTCACATTTACCAGTAACAAAATCTGTTATTCTTTATGAGGCAATAATTAATTTTGCCGCTGGTTCTTGCGATCAATTATATAACGAGAAAACATCAATTGTGATGGAAAATTATTTTCGTCTCATTCCTACTAATAATATTCAAAATTCTTTAGATATTACTTATAAAGCATTTATGAATTGTGGAACATTAATCGCAAGATTTGATGTTTTAAGAAAATTTCTTTTACCAGCGTTTCAATATTGTAAATCATTTGATATTGAATGTTTTTTTGAAAAAAATTCTAAGGAAATTTATTCTTGTTTGTTAATTGAACTTAAAGGTGATTCAGAAGATGATTTAAAACGACAAATTGTTTCAAAAATTGGATCCTATAATCTTTTTGAAATAATGTTTGCTAGAGTGAAATTGGATAAGATCATAAATGTTGAGAGTAAAATTGTGAAAAATATTTTTCAAACACCCATTGAGAAGGAATTAATGATAAAATTATTGAAACAAACACTTGCGGAGAGAAAAACAAAATGTTTGCTTCCAAATATTAGGGAAATTACGAGATTACTTCATTGTGCTGCGTATAATTGTCATATTTCAATTGTAAGTTTGAAGGAAGAGGAGAAATTTTATTCGTGGATTTTCACGGAAAATAGACAAGAGGAAAGTTTAATTTGGGAAAATATTGTTGATTGTGAAAAGCAATATGCATTGAAGCAAACGTTTAAAGAATATCCAAAACAGAAGAAAAAGTTAATTAATATAAGAAAAAAGAATTTATCTGAGAATATTGATAATTATTCTTATATTCATAAATATAATATCGCTTCTTCTACATTGGTTGAAAATATGGATTCTTATGATTTTAATGAAGCAACACTTGAAATTAAATCGAATAATCAAATTGAAGAAACAATGAGTTTGACATTTGAATGTGATGATTTTAATGAACACGAATGTATGGCATCGCTTTCGGGAATTTTGGTTCATATGGTGAGAAATGATATTTGTATTTTGGATACGGAAAATCTTCAATTACCAAAGTGGATGGGTAATTTTTTTCGTTCAATGAATACAAATTTTAATAATGTTCGATTATTTTTGTTAAAAGTCATTTGTAATACGCAAAATATTTTTAAACCGTATGTGAAATTTTTTCTTGGAATTATATTAAATACCGTGAATGAATATATGAAGGATAATTTGTTAAATTATATAATTACTGATATTTTGCTACTTTTAATTGAATGGCAAGTGAATTTAGGGGAAAATCACATTGAACAGGCGCAAATTCTTTTGAATAATTTAATACAAAAAGCGGATGGAATTTTAAATCGAAGTGTGAGAACATATAATGTTGAAATTATTAAAATGATTCTTCAACTTTGGGGTGATAAATTAAAATTACCAATTGGAATTGATGGAAAAATACAAACGGCACCGGAATTTTCGATACAATTGATTTTGACATTTTTGGAAAATAAATTGGAGGATCAATTGGTAGCTAGATTGGATCTTGTGGAATTTGTATTGAAATCGTTTAATGAATGGAAAAGAGAGGAGGATGTTGTTTTGCAAAATTGTATGGCTTTGGGTTTGATTGTGAAAAATTTGGAAAAGGAAAATAATATCGAAAATGAGGAATATGCTGCAATGAAATTGAAAATCAATGAAATGTTTTCTTCAGTATTTTGTAAAATGCAAGCCGCTGATAAGAGTCGATTAATTAAGTGTATCAATACTTTGGTTAAAAGTTATCCGCCATTGATTGAAAATTTTTTTGAATTTGTCAGAAATTATATTGGCGATGTTGACAATATGGGAAAAGCAAAGTGTCTTGAGATTTTTATTTCAAGAATTTCTTGTCTAACCACTGACGAAGTCAAACGAGAATTGGGATATTTGAATTTTAATAATTTATTGAAAAATAAAATTCTTACCTGTGAAAAATTAGGACTTGTGATCATTGATAAATTAGTATCGATTTTTAATGCAGGCGATATGATTCCAATGGCAGAATTAGTGAAACCATATTTAAAAAATAATTCTTCTGAATTGAGAGAAATGGTCTATGATATATTTATAAAAATTAAGAAAAAATATGAAAATTACACGATTGAATTTGATGAGAATAAATTAATAGAAATGAGTAATGAAATTTTACTTGTTGGTTTATTAGATTCGGCTGAAAATTTGCATGAGAAATTAATTAATTTTTGGACGGAGGATGTTGGATTATCGGCAAAATTATTGGATCGTCTCATGGATCTTTTGAAGCAATATAATCCCGATGTGGAACAAGTGTTTTTACTTTATTTTTGTCTTTCAATTTTGCGTCTTACGAATAAATCGCGAGAATATAATGAAATGATATTTAATGAAAAATTGGAGGAATGTTCTTTTGTTGAATATGAAGTTTTATTAAATTGGAGAGCAAAAAATTTGGGTTCATTGGCACCACTTTTTGCAAAATCATTGTCAAGTCAAATGTCACAAATGATATCGAAAACATTCACTCAGACATCAACTTCTTCATTTAGAGGGCAATTATTGAGAGCAACTGTTGGTCCTGCTTTTGAGCCAACTGTCAATGATTCACAATTGTCCGATGCACAATTTTCTCAAGATACAAATTCGGATGTTTTTAAAATGCCAGATCCTGCTTTTAATAAAGTATCAAAACGATTTCTCGGTCATAAGAAATTGAGTGATGAATTTGTGCAGAGAAACGCGAAGAGTTATCTTAAACATGACGAAATGGTTAAAGAGGAAGTTGTCAGGCAAAGTAATGTTGTGAAACTTTATAGAAAATATCGTCATGGCGATTTTCCTGATATACAAATATCTCATTCGAGTTTATTGGTTCCTCTTCAAGAATTGGCAAAGAAAGATTCATTGATTTGTAAAGATCTTGTTGTGAGTATTGTTTGTTCATTGTTAAATGATTTGAGAAATGAGGAAATTATTTCTGAAATTTTTAATAATATGAAAAAAGTTTTGGAAAATCATAATGCAAATTGGACACTTGCTGCGGTTTTAGAAATAACATTGGAAAATAAAGTTTATTGCTATGAGCCATATTTGGTTGGAAGAGCTTCAAAAATTAGTGGTCTCTTTTCATTGGGTGCACTTTATTTGGAAAATTACATGATTCATGGCGGGGAAATTATAGCTGAACCGGCACGAAAAAAAAGAAGAAAAAACGAAAATCTTTTGATTTGTGAACCATCAATTTATTTGGCGAGAATTTATAAATCGATGAATGAAGCTGACATTGTTTTGAGTATTTTCAAGAGTGGACAATTTAGCGAAAAACTTCAGGTAAGTAAAAAAAATTGTTGATTTTTAATTGTAAAATGTAAAAAATTGTAAAATAATAAATTTTTACAGGAAGCATCGCTTGCGCAGAGTTCGGGTGATTATTTACGAGCGAGAAAATATTACGAGGATGCTTACGAGATGGAAAATGATTTTGTTAAAGAACACTGTCTTCAGGAATCGTTTGAATGTTTATGTCAACTTTCACGATGGGATGTACTTGATAAAAAAGTATATGAGATATCAGAGGGAAATTTTGATAACGTTTGGAATAATTCTGAACAAAAAGAATGGCTTCTTCCATGGATTTATCGTGTTTATTTGCATAAAATTTTGAAAGGTGATTTATTCAAAAATCGTGATATCGACAGATTGTTACAATTTTTAGAGTCTGTTGATAATTGGATAAAAAGTGATAAACTAATGGAAATAAAACAACATTTTGGTGAAGAAATGTCACATATTTTTATTAATCCAGAAAATGAAAAATTGGAAATTGCTCGCGAATATTTGAAAAATAATCTCGATAATGTAAGAGAAAATTGGTTAAGATTAAATCCTCTATCAGAGAAACTTCGTTCTCGTCTTTTGTTGAAATTGAGAGGAATCAATAGTATTGATTTGTTTTTTAAAACATTAAAATCTGCCGATTTATCAAATGGAATTCAATGTTTGATTAAGGAATGGAATCAACATTTACCATCATCAAATGATGATCTTCTACTTTGGGAAACACATATGAATTATAGAATGTATTTTTCGTCTATTCTAATGAGTAAATATGAATCTGATGATGAAAATATTTTACCTCAATTAAAATCTACTTATATTGAGCAAAAAATGAAATTCTTGGATTTTGCTATTGAACATAAAAATAATTTTGTGGCAAAAAAATATGTTGTTGATTTGGAGGAAGCTATTAAAAATACTGGTTTAAAAAAATTAGAATTCAAACTTTCGACTTCTAAATGTTTTCATTTGATGAGCGAATTTTCCAACGACATGGGAAAAAAACTTTCGCACATTAATAAATCTTGGAAGCATGTTCATAATTATCTTGATGCTAATGATTCTGAAATATCATTGAAAATATCTGCTTTACAACATGTCACAACATTGACAATACTTTTGGAAAATATTCTCAATGATGGAGGAGAAAATGCTGAGATGATTATGAGATTAGATTTTTCATCAAAATTACCAAATAAAGAAGAAATCATTGATGTGGAGAGTTTAAGAAGAAATATTGTTGATTATGGATTGTATACATTAAAAGAATGTTGTGATATTGCTGAAACTGGTGATAAAGCTGAATGTTATTTTAAATTAGTGACACATTGTTACAATCGAATTTCGAAAGGAGGAAGTGTTGATATTTTTGAAATTCGTGAATTTGTCAGTGCAACACTTAAAGCAATGATTTATGGATCATTTAAAGCTGCTCATTATTTTCCATGTCTTTTGAAATTGGAATATTTACAAGATGAAATGACGAAGAATATTTTTATTGAAGAGTGTAAAAAAATTGAAACCTGGTTATTTATAACTTGGCAATCGCAAATTTTCTCTCATCTCAGAGGATCATTCGCGGAAATATTAATTCCTCTAGTTGATCGATTAGTTGAAGATTATCCAAATGCTGTTATGTATAATTTCCGTTTGACAATTGAATCAAATCCGGATTTATTGATAAATCCGGGAATTTTATTAATTAAAGAAAAATTGTACAGTAAACCAGGTGTTGAGGCATTTTTATCAGCTATGCATTATATTTCTCAACCGGAATTATATTTAATTTATCATCTTTTGGAAATTTTAAAAACTGTTCAACAGGGAAAATCAATATCAATTGAGAAACTGTTACAGACTTTGTTTCCTGAAAAACATTTTGAAAAGCAACTATGTGGTTCTCTTTTTAGGCAAATATTGAAGAAAATTGATGTGTTTAAAAGTGATATTAAAAATATGAATGGAAAAAATTTTACAGAATTAAAACCAATAGTGAAGAAAATCAATGATGTTTTAAATAAAAGTTTAAAGGAAAGAATAGAAAATGAAAGTATTTTCATGTCAAAATTAAAAGATTACAGTCCATGGTTGCAAAAATTAAGTGCATCTGATATTGAAGTTCCTGGTCAATATTCATCAAATCGAAAACCATTGCCACGATATCATGCGAAGATTGGTAAAATTGAGTCAAATGTTGTTGTGATTCAATCGTTGCGAAAACCAATAAAATTAACAATTGTTGGAAATGATGCGAAGAATTATAGTTTTTTGGTGAAATTTGGAGAAGATTTGAGAAATGATCAACGAATTCAACAGGCGTTTGGTATTATGAATAAAATACTTGAAAACGATATTTCTTGTGCACAACGTCATTTGGCGATTGATACTTATCAAGTGAGTGATTTATTTTAATCAGCTAATAAAATAAGAAAAAATTTCTATCAAAATTAAATTATTTTATATTTATATATTAATAAATAATTTAAAATTATTTTTCAGGTCATTCCCTTCTCGTTGAATTTAGGACTAATTGTATGGATCGAAGGAATGAAAACACTTGAAGATTTTATTCATTTTACACTCACCGATGAACAAAAACTGGAGTGTATATCTAATATTAATAAATACAATGAATGGATAAGAAAATGTGCAACGGGAAGAAGTTTAGCGTATAAAGAATCAACAATTAAATATAGTGCAACAACAGTTTTAGCAAAAATGAATGAACTTATTAATTCAACTGAGAATGATGCATTGAGAAAAACAATTTTCACATTATGTCCATCTGTTGAAAGTTTTCTTTCACTTCGTCATAATTTTATTTCAACATATGGAACAATGTGCATTGCACAATGGATTATGGGAATTGGTGATCGTCATTTGGAAAATTTACTTATTTCAGTGAAATCAGGAAAATGTCTTGGTATTGATTTTGGTTTAGCATTTGGTGCTGGTGTTGATATATCTATTCCTGAATTAATGCCATTTCGTTTGACACCACAAATTCAGGATTTATTTAAACCATTTGCTGAAAATGGTCCATTTGAAACAACAATGGTTTTTGTTTTAAAAGCATTGCGAAAAGAGAAAGGACCATTGTTGGCTTGTTTAGATGTATTTATTCACGAGCCTTTAAATTGGTTGGAGAATATTAAACAATTTTCGAATGAAAATCAAGAGGAAATTGAAGGTATTTTTATTTATAATTATTTTATTCTATAAATATTGAAATAATTGATTTAAATTTTAAATGGAATAAATGTTTCTTTTTTCAGATGTAAATTGGTTACCAATAAAAAGAGTAGTTACAGTCGCGGAAAAATTAGATGGAAAAAAACCGTCGCTGATAACTTTAGAGGAATTAAAACTCGTTCATGGCGATCAGAAATATTATTGGCGATATTTGGATATTGTTAATGGAACTGAGGAGGATCACAAAACTCTAAGAGCTAAAATTAAAAATGATAATCTTACACCTGAGGAGCAGGTAAGAATTATTGTTTTTCTAATTTAGAAACAATTGTTTAATTATTTTAATATATTTTAGGTGCAGTGTTTGATTGATCAAGCATCAGATTTTAATATTTTGGGTCGTACATTTTATGGATGGCAACCGTGGATGTAAAAAAATAAATTAATGTTTCTAAGATTTATTAATTTCAATTTGAAAAAACTGCGCTGAAAAGTCACCAATCAAAATTTTATGCCACGTGTTTATTTGCGCGGGAAAAAAGCAATTCTTAGAAATGTAATTGGTTTCTTAATCCCCGCAAAAATTTAAAACCGACCAATGAGAACGATATTTTTCATTGTAAATTTGAAAAAAAGTCGACGTTCCCGCCACGAACTAAAGCTTTATTGTTGCATTAACAGATGGCGCCACTTAATTTCCGTATTAATTTGATTTTATTATTGTAATATTTAATTTTAAACAATTTAAATTATTCGCACATAATTAAAAATTAATTTAATATTAATTGTTTGTAGAAAAAAAAATTAATTATTTAAATAATCTTGAGAAAATTAACAAACATATTCCTTTCTATATGTTTGTACATCCATGTTAATTCTAAATCTGTCACCGTGTGTGTGACATACTTGTCCCACATTTTTTATTTGACCAAAAAAGAAAACACTTTCTAAACTTGAATTGAAAGTTAATTTCTAAGTGTTTTTTTTCTTTTAATTTGTTTATTAATTTAATCTCATCAGTGAATAGTGCGAAATATTTTATTTTATTATATTGTCAATCAGTACATTTAGAGGTTAGGTGGCGCCACGTGCTTTTGCACAAAAATTTTCTCGAAGAAGCTGTCCAGGTTCGAATAAGTGTATATATAAAAATGTCTAAAGTAACCGAGGAGGTGACGGAAAAAATATCCGATATGAATATTGAGGAGACGACAAAAAAATTGACACATAAGGAAAAAAAGAAATTGAAAAAACAACAGGAATATGAAAAAACTTTGGAGATGATGACCAAAACTGGTGGACAGGGTCATAGTGAACTTGAATCAAATTTTACTGTTTCACAAAGTGCACCACAAACACGTGGTGCACAACAATTGGATAATGCCGTTGATATTAAAGTGGAGAATTTTAGTATTGCCGCGAAAGGTAAAGAATTATTTTCCAATGCCAGCTTGCTCATTGCTCAGGGTAGACGTTATGGTCTTGTTGGTCCAAATGGGTAAGAAAATAATTCTTTTTTTTTTAATTTTTATTCTGTTTAAAGAAATTTTATTTATTTAAAAGAGATTTTGTAAATTTTCAGACATGGTAAAACGACATTATTGCGTCATATTCAAAAACGAGCTTTTGCAATTCCGCCAAATATTGACGTTCTTTATTGTGAACAGGAAGTTGTCGCTGATGATACACCTGCTGTTGAAAATGTTCTTAATGCCGACGTTAAATGTAAACAATTGCAAACAGAATGTAAACAATTGGAGGAAAAAGCCGAACAAGGAGACGAATCTGTTCAATCGAGATTGCAAGAAGTTTGTATTTTTGGGATTTTAGAAAAAATTAAATAAGATTTAAAATTCGAAATTACAATGTAAAAAAAAAAATTTGTTTTCAGGTTTACGAGGAATTAAAGGCAATTGGTGCCGATTCAGCTGAACCTCGTGCACGACGAATTTTAGCTGGTTTAGGTTTTAGTCGTGAAATGCAAAATCGAGCAACAAAAAATTTCTCCGGTGGTTGGCGAATGCGTGTTTCTTTAGCGCGTGCACTATTTCTTGAACCAACACTCCTCTTACTTGATGAGCCGACAAATCATTTGGATTTAAATGCCGTTATTTGGCTTGATAATTATTTACAAGGATGGAAAAAAACATTGCTTATTGTTTCTCACGATCAAAGTTTTCTCGATAATGTTTGTACGGATATTATTCATTTGGATCAATTGAAATTATTCTATTATAAGGGCAATTATAGTATGTTCAAAAAAATGTATGAACAAAAAAGAAAAGAAATGATAAAAGCTTATGAGAAACAGGAGAAAAAAATTAAGGATCTTAAAGCGGCTGGACAAAGTAAAAAGCAAGCGGAGAAAAAACAAAAGGAAGTGCTCACAAGAAAACAGGAGAAAAATCGGACAAAAATACAGAAACAAGAGGAAGATACTGGACCACAGGAATTGTTACAAAAACCAAGGGATTATATTGTTAAATTTAGTTTTCCTGATCCACCGCCACTTCAACCTCCGATACTTGGTCTTCATAGTAAGCGAATCGATTATTAATTTCTTTTTTCAATATTCCGGAAAATTTTAAAGTGTAAAGATTAAATTTTTTTCAGATGTGACATTTTCCTACGAGGGTCAAAAGCCACTTTTAATCGAAACCGATTTTGGAATTGATTTAAATTCACGTGTTGCCATTGTTGGACCCAATGGAGTTGGAAAATCAACATTTTTAAAACTCTTAATGGCTGATTTAACTCCCCTAAAAGGAGAATTAATAAAAAATCATCGCCTGGTAATTTCAATCAATTATTCAATTTTATTTTAAAATTAAATTATTATTTAATAAGAAATGTTGTTTAAAAATAAATTCTCCTTCACAGAGAATAGGAAGATTTGATCAGCATTCGGGTGAGCATTTAACAGCTGAGGAAACACCATCGGAATATTTAATGCGTCTTTTCGATTTGCCTTATGAAAAAGCGCGAAAACAATTGGGAACATTTGGTCTCAGTTCACATGCGCATACAATTAAAATGAAAGATTTATCAGGTGGACAAAAAGCACGCGTTGCATTGGCTGAACTTTGCTTAAATGCACCTGACGTTGTGATTCTTGATGAACCGACAAATAATTTAGATATTGAATCAATTGATGCATTGGCCGATGCAATTAATGGATATAAAGGCGGTGTTATTATTGTGACTCACGACGAAAGACTTATTCGTGAAACAGAATGTTGTCTTTATGTTATTGAAAATCAACAAATCAATGAGATTGATGGTGATTTCGATGATTATAGAAAAGAATTACTCGAGAGATTGGGTGAAGTTATTAATAATCCTAGTATAGCTGCCAATGCAGCAGTGCTTCAATAATATTTTCATAATTAATACAAAAAGTAATAAATTAAAATCAAATTTTAACTCAAATTTGTATATTATACTGTTCTGAAAAAAATAGGAAAAGGATTATTAACTATTATTATTATTCTAAGAGAGAAGGAATTTTAAATTATCGTATTATTAATTAAAAAAAAAATATTTATATTCAGCGAAAACATTCATTATAAATTTATTCATTTGACAATTTTTTTATGGAAAAATGTTTGCTAATTTTATTTGCAAAAAGGACATAATTAATTTTAAAAAGTTAAAAAAAGAAAAGTATAATTTAAAAATAAAACGAGTGATTTTTCTCATCTTCATTATTAAATTTGTAAATAAACTTGTGAATATTGTACAAGAGAATTTAGAATTTAATTTCTTTTTGTAAATTAAAATTTGTAAACAATTTTTCTGCTTTTTTTAAATGCATTCAAAATATTTTGTAAAAATTCAATTAATGAAATACATTTTGTTCATTGTTTAAAAAAATATTCTATTTATTACTTTAGATTACTATTTTTTTTTTTTATAAAATATTTATTTAAAAAATTGTTTTTTTTATTTTGACAGGCGGCAATTTGTTGGAAGTAGTAGTTTCATAATTTTGTGTAAGATGTCAACACTGATCATTTCCTTCAGTTCGCCACGTTGGAAGAGTTGACGGATGGCTTTGAGTGTGAAGTTTTTGTGAAATTTTTATATTATAATTAATTTCTATTATTTATCGTGGAATATAAACACACAAGGGTAAATAAATAATCTTTAATTTTTCTTTTTCAAGAACAATTTTCTTTGTATATGAAAAACTAACCTACAAATTGTCTCAGAATTTTCAATGACAGAATGTATGGAAAAATTTAATAACATGTATTGTTTTTTTATTTTATATTTTTAATGCAAAATATTTATTGGGAAATTTTAATTAGCAAAAACTGGAAAAATTTGTCTAAATGCTTTTAGTTTTGATATAATTAAAATAAACAAATTTAATTCAGTTGTCTTCATAAAGAGGTTATATTTGACGTGTCAAATGGAATGTTAAAAATTTTTTTAAATTTATTTATTTATTCTTTTTGGAATTTTTAAATTTATTTAAATTCGATAATTAAAAATGTTTTATTAAATATAGAAAATAAAAATATTTTATTGTTAAATAATTATTTTTTAAATCTTTTTTTTTTGGTATAATAATTAATGAAGTGTATTTTTTATTAGATTTCAAGATGAAGGTGAAAGAATTATTAAAGAATGTTAATGTAGCATGGTCTCCACAAGCTCAGCATCCAATTTTGTTGGCTGCTGGAACTGCAGCACAACAGCTGGATGCAAGTTTCAATACTTCAGCAAGTTTAGATATATATGCACTTAATCTTCAACAGCCGGGTTATGAAATGGAGCATAAAGTCAGCGTACCCAGTGATCATAGGTCCTTATCAATTTTTATTTTATTAAAAAAAAAAATATTCATGAAAAACGAACTAATAAGAATCAAAAAACAAACAAATAAAAAAGAGAGATTTCTACTTTTTGCTTTGTAATGATGACAATTTTTTTTTACACAATAATTCTGTCTCAAAAACTAAAAAAGCTAAGATTATTAGATATTTATGAAATTTTTTTATTTATTTTCATATAAACTTATTTTTAATTAAAATTATTATTTAATTAATAATCTAATTATAAAAATATAAATTATTTACTAAAACAAAAAATACATAATCAAATTAATTTGTAAAAATTCTCAGATTTCATAAATTAATATGGGGATCGTATGGAGATAATCCAAGTGGTGTTATTGTTGGTGGTTGTGATTATGGAACGATAAAAATTTATTCAGCTGCAAAATTATTGGCAAATGAGAGTAATTGTTTATTAAGCAGTCCCGATCGACACACTGGACCAGTACGTGCATTGGATTTTAATCCATTTCAATCGAATTTATTGGCAACCGGTGCATCGGAGAGTGAAATTTATATTTGGGATGTAAACAATACAAATACGCCAATGGCACCAGGAACAAGAAGTCAACCTGCGGAAGATGTGCAATATATTGCTTGGAATAAACAAGTTCAACATATTCTAGCATCAACATTTTCACAGCGTTGTGTAATTTGGGATTTAAGAAAAAATGAAGCAATTATTAAACTCACTGATGCCAATTCTAAGGTATATTTATTTTTTTATAAAATAATAAAAAAAATTTTGATTAATTAATTTTAAATGAAAAAAAATGGTACAATTAACTGATTAAACTATTTTTAAATATCGAGATACAATTCGTAAATAAATAAAAAGTATTAAATATTTTGAAAAATGTTTGTTTTTTCTTATAATATTTGTATTTTGTATTATCAGGTACGATGGAAAGTAGTTCAATGGCATCCGGACGTGGCAACACAACTTTGTCTAGCCTCTGAGGACGATCAGGCGCCAGTTATTGAATTATGGGATTTGAGATTCGCCACGTCGCCTTTGAAGACACTTCAAAGTCACCAACGTGGAGTTCTCTCAATCGCTTGGAATCCTCACGATCCCGATTTGCTGTTGAGTTGCGCGAAAGATAATCGAATTCTCTGTTGGAATCCAAATTCCGATGCTCCGGTAAAAGTCCACTTTTTTATTTATTATATTTATTTTTAATAAAATTTATATAAATATTTTTCACAAATATATAATTAGTTAATAATTTTATTGTAAATTTGAATTAATAGAATGGCGAAGTTGTTTGCGAATTGACGCAAACAAATCAATGGAACTTTGATGTTGCCTGGAGTCCAAGGGATCCGGGTCTAATTGTAGGAACAAGTTTCGATGAACATGTTGTTGTTTATTCCTTGCTCGGCGGAAGAAATCAAGAATCTTCCGAAACATCGAATAAAATTGTCGACTCATTTCCAGGAATGGATCCATTTACTCAAGCGCCACCGACAACAGAAACGGAAGCCGCTGCAATTTTGAAAAAGGCTCCAAAATGGATGAAACGTCCATTTGGCGCATCGTTTGGGGTAAAAAATTAATTATCTTATATTTAAATATACGGAACTCACTATTTTTTACTGTAATTTTTCTTCTTTTTTTTCAGTTTGGCGGAAAATTAACGACTTTTGAAAATGAACCCGTTGATCCAAATATGCCATCGAATTCAAATAGAAAAGTATTTATATCGCAAGTTATTACAAATCCAGAATTAGTGAAACGATCGAGTGATTTGGAAGCTGCACTTAAATCTGAACAATATAGCGATTATTGCAATGGAAAAGCAATGATGGCGAGGGATGAGCATAATAAAAAAATTTGGAATTGTGTTGGAGCTTATTTCAGTGATAATGTAACGACTGGACTTTTAGATTTATTAGGATTTAATATAGAAACAATGAGTAATAAATTAAATCAACTTGTGCCTCGTCAGGACATTGATAATATCACGGATGGTATTGCAAATTTAGATAATGTGAGTTAAATTTTTTTTAAAAATATTTTTTTAATCTTGTTAAATGTTTATTTTATAAAAATACAAAGTTTATTTTTCATTAGGTACTTAATGGAAACAGTATCGATGGAAGTGCAGCATTTGACGCCATAGCTGAACAGGAACAAAGTAGAATATCGTCGCCTAAAAAGACGCCTGAAAAAAATTACAAAATCAACACATCTGATGGTAATTTGGGAATATTTATTATTTATAATTTTTAATATTTATATTTTAATTTATCATTTATTGTAATATAATAATTTTCAGATGAAGACGGTCTCATTACACAAGCAATTCTTCTTGGCAATATTGAGGCAGCTGTTTCGCTTTGTTTCGCGAATAAACGATACGCGGACGCTGTTATTCTTTCGATGGCAGGTGGTCCGGATTTATTGGCTCAGACTCAATATCGATATTTTATGGAACATTCAGGTGCTCTCAATTCGCTCATCAGTTCTCTAGTGAGCGAAAATTGGACAGATATTGTCAGTAATTGTGACATCACTTGTTGGAAGGAGACATTAGTTGGAATATTCACTCACACCGCTCCCAGAGAACGAGCAATTCTTTGCGGTGATTATTTTATTTTTAAAAAAGTATTCAATAATTAAATTATTCCTTTTCGATTTAGAATTTAATTTTATAATTTAAAAATATTTTCTCCGCAGACATGCTGGGAGATCGTTTAGCATCGAGTGACAATTCTGAATTATCGAAACAAGCCGAAATTTGTTTCCTTTGTTCTGGGAATTTGAATAAAATGATTGAATCATCAGATTCGTCAATTCAGGAGAAAGCGGAACTTGTCACAATAATGCAAAAGGCATTGGAATTGCAGGGAACAAGCGAAGTTGTTATCGAGGGACAAATTGCGTCGATTTTATCACAATACGCCGAAATGCTTGCATCTGAAGGTAATTTTGAATCAGCTTTAAATTACCTTGGTAACAGTCAAGAACCGCGAATTGCAATGCTTCGCGATCGTTTGTATCGTGCATTGGGTTACATTCAAGATGCGCGTCCAAGACAATCACAAAGTTACTATCAACAACAACAACAACAACAACAGCAACAACAGAGAAAATCTTTGCCAACAAATACCTATAATCCAGTGCAAATGGGAAATAATTGGAATACAACACCTTTGAAACAATCTTATCCAAGTACTGCAAATCATTTTGGAACGCCTCTTGTTCCATCATTATCATCAGCTCCGCCGCCTCTCGATCAATTTTCAAATCAAGCATCGCCTTATGGACAAATTCCAGCACCTCAAGCACCACCACCTCCTCCTCCTCCAACTGCAAGTAATCTCAGTGGTTCGCGACCACCCAGTGTTGGACCACAATCGAGATCGAAATATATTATTGATCCATCGGTGAAATCTGCTCCCACTTATGGTGGGATGTCGAATTATCAACAGCCGTCAATGTTTGGCGCTCAGTCAAATTCTGTTTCGAGTTTTCCGGCTCAAAACACGTTTCAAGCCAATCAAGCACCATTGACTAATTCACCGTATTCGAATCCAGTGCCAAATTCAATGTTCAATGCACAGGAACAATCGGGATTAATGGCGGGCAATCAACAAACACAATCGCAAATTTATGATCCCAGTAGAGGTCAAGTGATTAATCAACCGCAGGTTTATGATAATCCTTATCAGCCGATACCACAACCTGCCGGTTGGAATGATCCACCGATTAGCAACAAACCAACAAGAATGCAGGTAATTAAACATTTTTTTTTATAAATCTTATTGATAAGAGAAAAATCAAAATATTCTGTAGGTCATTATTTATTCGAGTGGGTGACAATTTGAATTTTGTTAATTTAGAAAATTTTTCTATGCGAAAATAAAATTGATTTTGTATTTAAATGATCTATAGCCAGTTGTGGCTTTATACAAGAAAAATGAAATGTCAGCGGAACATGCCGGCACAAGGAAGTGGAAAGCAAAACACTCGAAGAGTAGAAATGAGGTAGAGATCTACTGAATGGTGTGCCTTCTTCAATTTTGTGAAGTACAATATTTCAAGGCAAATTTACCTCGATAATAATATTATAATTAGTTTTTATGAAAAATTTTCCGTTTTAGTCATTGGCTAGAAAGACAGTCAAAAATAAAAATTAGTTTAGCATGTCTTTTTTTTCGCTTTAATATAATATATTCCAAACAATCATTAACATTCGAGTATTGTTCTTATTAACCTTTAATAATTATTAAAAGAATATTAAAAATTGTTTCCAAAAATTTTGTTTTGCAATTTTTGTAGGTTTTTTTTTTTTTTTTTTTGAAACAAATATTAAAAGAGGAATATCACCAATTTTAAAAATATCTATTTGAAAATAAATAATTAAGAAATAATTGAATATTAATTTTTACTATTATTGTTTTTTAATATATAATCTACTTTTTTTACAGGAAAATTTTTTTGAGAGAGTTAGATTTTTTTTAGAACACTTCCCTCGATGGCTTTGAATTTGTTTTCATAAATTAATAATAATTTGTGAATTATAATAAATCATGGCAAATTGAAAAAGAAATAAAGTTTTATAAATGATTTTGTTTTTTACAGCCAAAGGCAGAATTTCAACAACCAGATCCGATTCTCCATCCTTTGAGAGGCGCTGTTCCTCAACAAGAACCGAATGTGAGTTTTTTTTTTTTATTAAAGAAATTAATTTTTATGTAATTAGTTTAAAAAAATTGATGATAATTTATTTTATTATCTTTTTAGTTTATGCAGCAACAAGGTTTCTATCAAGAACCCCAAATGCAATACAATCAGCAATATAATCAGAATGTTTTAAATCCTGCAAATCAATATATGCAGAATGTTGAACCTCATCAACAAATGCAACAAATTCAACAAATGCAACCAATGCAACCAGTACAAACAGTTCCTCCTGCTAGGATTGTTGAACCAGAAAAACCGAAAGCACCAATTCCAGAAGAGCATATTCATCTTAAAACAGTTTTGGATGAATTACAATCTCATTGTTTTGAAAATGCAAAGAATCCTGTGAGTAAATTCAACATTTATTTTTAAACAAAATTATTTTTTCTTAATTAAAAAATAAATAGCAAAAATCAAAATATTTTACATTTTCAGCAAACTAAACGAAAAATAGAAGATGTTGCCAGAAAACTCGAGGCTCTTTACGATTGTCTGAGAGAAAACAAGGTATAGTTGTGTTGAAGTTCTCTTAATTTGTTGTCATATTTTTTTCTTTCCCTTTCATTATTTTTATTTGAATTATTTGGAATTTTTACAATTTTATTATTAAAAATTGTTTTCATATCTTTATAATTTGTTTTATATTGTTTATATATTATTTTTAGTCTTTCAGTCATAATTTTTATCACCCATGTCCGGTAAGTTAGTAAATAAAAAAATAAATAACGTTGATAAATTTTGCATGAAAATGTTTTTTTTAATGAAAGAAAATAAAAATTAATAATTTTTTTCAGCTGACTCAAAATACACTTCAAGGATTACATCAAATATCGCAAATGATTCAAACCGGAGATTACACAGGTGGACTGGGAATTCACACACAACTTGTATCAGGACCAGATTTTAGTCAAATTGCTTCATTTATGCCAGGTATCAAAGTACTGCTTCAAAGCGCTTTACAATTAAGCGTCTACATCAGATAGAAGACTACTATTATTATTATTATTTTTTTTTTAAATTAGGAAACTCGATAATAAATTAAAATGCAGTTTCTCTTATTTTTCTATTAATCTCTCAATGCTTTTCTAAAAGGCTTTGAGTATAGAAATTTTTTAAAAATTACCGAAAATAATGTTTGTACAAAGTGAAATATCAAGGACGATTATCATTATTAGGGAAATTCAATTGACAATATAGTATATAGATATAAAAAAAATGCGGGAGTGTGAAAACAAAAACTTTGCCAAAAAAAATGTTTCTTCAGACGAAACTTTCTTTTTGTTATATAAAAAGTTAGTTTATGAAAATTTTTAAATTGTTACAATTTTTCAAACTATATTTTCAAATTATAGAGTAACTGTTTATTTCTTTAAATTTTCTTCTTTTTTTCTACTAAAAAAAAATTTCTATTTCCTAAACTATTGTCTCTAATTCTATTTTTTTATTTTAAATTTATTTTTATGTAAAAATTGCTCTTGTGTTCATTTTAATAGCTGTGTTTCTCTTTTTTTTTTGCTCGAATTTTGTCTATTTTATTGATAGATTATTATTGTTAATGGTTATAAACGAAAAAATTGTCGATTATCATTTTTTTTTTCTAAGAATAATAAAAGTGAGAGAAATATATACATATTGTATGTACGTTTAGGTGCGTTTTTCTTTGCTTTAATTAACAAACAAAAATATGAATGTAAAAAATAGTTTTATAATGTGTGTAAAAAAAAAAATTGTGTAAGTGAAGATCGAAAAAAAAGTTGTGCATTTACCAGTTTTTTCATCAAAATTTTTGCGTATTAACACATCTAAAAATGCATGTATTGATTCATTAAAAAAAACACATTTTTTTATGAAACGCTTAATATTATTATATTAAGCAATATTATTGTAAAAGAGAAAAATTTTCTCGAAAAAAAAAGAAAAAAAAATGTAATTATTATTATCTTCTATATATGTATTATTATTATTATTATTATTTATAGCTTATAATTTGTATAATAAACTTTTGATTGAAAATTTATATGCAATAAATTGTTGATAATCTTGTCTTAGATAATTATCAAAGTGTTGAAGTTTAAAATAAATGATTTTGTGAACTTTATGTTAAAAATCAGTTTATTTTTTTTTTTTTGATTGATTTTTAAATTTATTGAATAATTAAACTATGTAAAATAGCACTTTTTTCGTGAATTATAAATCTTTGAAGAAGTTCATCGAGTTGATCGACTCCGTCACGGGCGGCTTGTCGTCTCATTGCTTGTTTTACTTCTTCCCGAACTCCTTTGTCCGCGCCTCGTGTCGCGATTCTACGATCTGAAGGAATTTTTTTTTTATTAATAATTGTGTTAAATTTTATTTTTAATAATATTTTGATTTTTTGTTTTAAATTTATTAAAAATAAAATTTTCCTACGCACTTTGTAGCATTCCGGAATTGTTTCCAATATCGAGGGAAACACCGCCTCCGTGTTCGGTCCAGAGATATGTTAATTCCTCTAAAATATCAACATTTATAATGTAGGCCTGAAAAAGAGGATAAGAAAATGATCCTCGAGTTCTAATTCTTTCTGTGATTGTTGACAGAATTTCTGACTCTTGAGGCCAGTCAATTTGCATGAGAACTAAAGCGTGACCTATCGCCAAATCTCCAACACCTCCAGGAATTGTAAAATGCTCCTGAAATTGAAAATTTCATTTCAATTTTCAAAAAAAAAAAAAAATTGGCAATTAAAATATTTACCTTTAAAGTAGCTAACAATAAACGACAACAATATTGCAAAATTGGAAATCGAGCAATTGTGAGATAATGCAAATGTCGAATTGCCGGAACTGCTAAACTATTCGACACTTTTCCGCGAACAGGTGGCAAAATATTTGCAACCATTGAAATATATTCTAGCATTCCCTGTAGGAAAAAAACAAAACAAAAATTTTCGTATAATTGAAAATAAAATGAATTTCATTAGTATTTCTCTTTGTTTAAGAACAGAAATGAAATGAAATTTAATTTTAAAAACAAATTTTACAAATAAATAATATTTGAAATATTAAAAATAAAAATACCTTAAAATCTTTAACAAAAAAGCAATTGCTCGCCATACGAAGATGAGAGCATAATGTAATTGGTTCCTGAGGAAGTCTCGCTAATACTTCATGATGTAAACCTTTGTACATTGCTAAATCAGTGAGGAAAAAATTTAACCAAGGATCCAAACGAAATTGAGAACTAAGTTTTATTATTTCCCTTTGTAAATATTCTGTGCTATGAAGTAAATCCCATAATCTCACTGTTAAAGCAAGTCCATTTCCATTATATTCACCGTCACTTGTTATCGCAATACTCATAGTTTCCTCGCGTTTTCGTTTTTTTAACTTTGGTTCTAAAAAGAAAACAAACTTATTTTATTTAAATAAAATAAATCTCACCAATTTTAAAAATTAATTAATTATTAATAAATAATTGAATATTAATTTTTTCTATTACTGTTTTTACATTATACTTTTTTTACAGGAAAATTTTTTTGTTAGATTTTTTTTTTTTAGAACATTTCCCTGGATGGCTTCGAATTTGTTTTCATAAATTAATAATAATTTGTAAATTATAAGAAATCATGGCAAATTGAAAAAGAAATAAAGTTTTTTATAAAGGATTTTGTTTTTTGTTACAGCCAATGGCAGCATTTCAACAACCGGACCAAATTCTTTATCCTTTGAGAAGCGCTGTTCCTCAACAAGAACCGAATGTGAGTTTTCTTTTATTATAGAACTAAACATTTATTTTTTAAACTAATTTTTTCTGAAATTTTACTTTCAAATTTGAATAAAATGAAGATATTTAGTTAAATTCATTTAATTACAATTATTTAAATAATTAAATATTAATTTAATTATTAGAAAAAATAATTATTAAAATATACCTGAAGGAGATAAATTCGGCTCCCCGAAAGCTTCAATGAGGCAATATGTAGTTTCACCACCATTCACCAATGTTGAATGCTCATTCCATATCCTCAATAAAACGACAATTGTACAAACAAGAAATTGCCTTACAATTACTTCATCGCACATTCCAGGACTATGAGTTACAGCGTATTGATGTAATCGTTCACAATATGAATCTCGATTCCATGGCGTTGTAAAAAATGTACTCAATTCCCAACCTAATTTTTTGCCAATTAATTCAACAACTTGAAATAATCTCTCCCATGGTTGAATAATTTGAAAATCCTGTGGTTGTTGAATAAATGCCAAATAAAATTCAACTGCTTTATAAAGTAATCGTAAACTTAGACGTGGATTTAATTCAACGGGCGCTGCACCCAATAATGGTAATGCCTCGCATGTTAATAAACGACGAAATCCATTGACAGCACGTCCCGGATGACTGTGTTTCTCCGCGGTTAATAATGTCTCCACCAAACGGGGCTGAAATTTAATTATTAATTATTAATTAACAAAAATTAATTTGAAAGTTTATTTTACCTTTTTTAAAAAAAAATAAATTTGCAAACATTTGGAAAATTCTAATTAAATTTACAAAGTAAAAAAATATTTTTAAATCAATTTTTGAAAGTATTCAATTATTTTAATTGAAATTTAAAGTAAAAAAAATTAATAAAACGAAATATTTTCGTGAAAAAGTTTAATTTTTAAATTGCATTTTAGTTTTGATAGTTTAAAATTAAATTTTCTTTACGCCATGAGTTGAAATAGTTTGGGGAAATTTTCTTAATAGTAAAAGAAGCAATTTGCAATGTTCCATTGTATCTTCACTGTGATCTGCTGTCATAATTAAAAGACGATGCTGTAAATCTTGAGGAATGTGTTGAAACATTTGACACAATAATTCCGATTCTGTATCATTTTGCTCGGAACGAAGGCACGCCGTTACATTTTCAATTTCTTTCCATATATCCCGATCATCTGGAAAATTCTGAAAGCTAAAAGAAAAAATTAAATTAATTTCCTCAATTAATTAAAATTAAATATTCCGTATATTTAAACGTACATTTCGCTAAAACATTTTGCAGCCTCCTTGACATTCTTGGCAAGTTTCTCTATCCTATAAGCTTCGAACTATAAATAAATAAAAATTTATAATTTAATTAAATTATTAATTAATTAATTACTAGTGTTAAAATTGAAATAAAATAAATAAAAATAAATTTTAGGATACGGTGAATAATTATCAAAAAGAAATTAAATATATACTTTAAAATACAAAATAAATTTACCTGAACTTTTGCACTGTGTGGAAATAATGATTTTGCAGTAATTAACCATGTTTTTGCGGCATAAATATCAGTGGCCAAAGCTTCTTTAGCACGTAGAATTAAATAATCTTCTTTTGATAATTGATTATCGGATGTTGCCGCTTTCTCCAACATTGTTAGAGAATTTCTAATTAATTAAACATAAAATATTAATTATTTTCTCTATGATTTAAAATATATATTTTAGTTTTGTAAAAACACTTTTTTTTCCCCCAAAAGTTTATGTCAATATAACCAAACTTTTTTCTGACGTTTCTTTAGTCTGTTTTACCGACAGTTGTTACGATGCAATACCGACAGTTTCTTCGTTACCACTGTTATCGAAAGTACACGACAGAGGGCGACTCTGCCTCTTTCTTATTGGTTGAAAATTTGCAATAACGGAAAAATTAAACATTGTTGAAGCTCAGCTCATTTCGTCATAATTGTTGTTACAATTAACAAGTTAATGATTTATAAATTTGTTCAGATATAATAGTTTAAACAATATAGCCAAGTATTTTACAACCTTCGATAATAAACAGTGCTCAATTAGTTTGTCTATCTATGCAGCAAATAATGTTTTTAATGTGAGTATAAATTTATTTTCGACAATTTATTGAAAATATTTTCCAATTGAAATTGGACGCCATTTTTATTTCATTGTTGAATTCTCATTTCTCGCGTGAGTGTTGATGAAGAAGTTTGGTTATTTTGGCGATTAAGCTTTGCAATTTATATCTACTCATTTTAGTCAATTTTTTGTGGTTAAAAGATGAATACTCGTGAAATATATATAGAAAGCTATTTGATGAAAAAAAGCATTGAATGTTTTAGTAACGAAAAATTGACAAAACGCATTTACGTGTATGGCAAAGTGCAAAGTAATTTCAGTGAAAATTCAGGTAATTCAAATTATACTAATTTCTCCTTGTTTGTAATTTTTATAAAGTGTATTTGAGCAAAATTGAGTTACTGAGGTTAAGTAACATCTTTTTTTTACAATAATTATTATACAATTAGTAGCGCCTTTTTGTGCGATACAAATCTTAACCTATAAATTTGACAATTTTTACTCATGATATATTTTTGCCATTATCAACAATTAAGTTTGTATATATATTTAATTTGTTCAAATTATAAAATTTGCTTACATTTTGTAAGTATTTATATATTGTATATTTATATATTATATACATTTATTAATTCTTGAAAATAATTTCAAAAATTCTTTAATATTTTTTCACAATAAATTTATCCCTTTCAATAAAAATATAAAATCAAAAAAATCAAAATAAGAAAAATAAAATGAAAACAATTCACAATAATGTGTTTGTATAGAAATCATGTTTTTTGTTTTTGTTTTTTTTTTTAAATCGAAATTTGCTATTTGTGTAAATGCAAATAAATCCTAATCTAAATTTGATTTTTTTTATATTGAGAATTAAATTTGTATCTATTATCAAAATTATAATTTTATATTAAAATATTTATATCCCTTTTTTCAGAAATAAGACGTTAAAAATTAATTTACAAAAAAATTATTATTAATTAAAAAAATTAATTATTAAAAAACTAAAAAAAATAAAATTTTAGTAAATAAATTTTTAAATAAAAAAATTGATGAATAATAAAGTTGTGTAATAAAAAAAGATTTATAATAATAATAAATATTGAAATAAATAAATATTTATATTATAATAATTATAATTTTGATTTAATAATATTATAATTATAATAACCTCTATTTATAAATAATAAATTTATATAATAATAATTTATAATAAATTCAAATAAAGAAATTATTGATTCGAATACAATTTATTAGATCCAAATTTTAATTAATTTGGTTCAAATAAATATTTATTTTATAAAAGTCAAGTAACTAATTATTTGAAACAAACAAATTTCTTGTGTTTTTCTTTTAAATTTTTTAATTTTTATTAATTACACTGAGAAAAAAAATTTGTTTTAAACAATTAAAGTTTTATTAAAATAAATCAAACGTTTATTTAGATCAAATAAATATTTATATAAATATTTATAATAAATTTTCTTTAAAAATAAGTAAAAAATTATTTACTCTATATAAAATTTTAATTGTGTTAAATAATTTTTTTTATTTAAACCAAATAAAATTGATTAGACTCTGAGACAAATATATTTTTATTTGATTCAAATAAATTTTATTTTTCTTAAATAAACGATTTCTTTGGGTGTACAAAAAAATGGTTTATTTCTTTTAAATCAAACAAATCTTTAAAAAAAATTTATTTAATTCAAATAAATATATATTTGAAGCAAACAATTTTTTTTTAATAAATTTTTTCGATTAAATAAACTGTATTAGAATCAATAATTTCTGTATTTGAAATAAATACCATTCAAATAACAATTATTCGAAACAAGTAAATATTTAATAAAAGTTAAGTATAACTGATTATTTGAATAAAATAAATTTTTTTCTATTTTTTCTTGTCCAAACATTTTATTTATAATTATTAAAAAAGAAATTGTATACTAAGAAAGTTGGGTATTTTTTGGGAATGTAGAAGAAAGAAAACTTTTTTATTTGTATAAAATATTGATAAAAAAATATATTAAAGTTTATAAAACAGAGGAGCGCACACATATGCAGCTTTATCTGAGGAACAAAAGCATTGAACTTTTGCAAATCTTAAGAGCGTCATGAAGCTTCTCTTTTATATCCTATATAAAGTTGAGTGGTTCCATTTATAAAGATATAACCGCAGGCACTCTATGAGCAAAAGCCGCTTATTTCTTACGTATAGACGCCATCACTTCTTCACTTGCGAAAGCTCCTAAGTGGTTATGGCGCTTTGGCTTTGTATCCTGTGGCTTTCCGGGTTCTTATAAAGCACCGGAAATAAAGCTCCATCAGCGTTCTTCTTGATTTATGTGACAAGAATATAAAACAGATTCTTGGATATCTCAAAATCTTTTTTCTTTTATTGTTATTTATCATTATAATATACATTTTTCTATATAGATAAACGTCTTTTTAGTTAAAATACTATAAATTGAAACAAATTTATTTCATCTAAATAATCAGTTACTTGACTAATTATTAAATAAACTATATAATTGCAACGTAATGTGACTTGGTTAAAAATCTGAAAAAACAATTTTCAAATATTTGTTGCAAAAAAATATTTCTCTATTGTATAGTAAAAGTTGTCTAGAAAAGAATTGAGTTTAAAAAAATTTCAAAACGATCGAACTTGGTCTCTTAAATTACTGACCACTAATTTAAAAAGTATTTAAAGTTTTTATTGCAATACTTGAATTTCTAAAGGCAATAATACTTAAAAACTCTCAATCCTTGATCCTGAAACATATTTATCTTTTTCCTTCTTTGTTTTCTCAAAATCCTGTTGCGATTTTTTCTAATTGAATAGTGAAATAAAATTACTTTAATTTTGAAATATATTGATTAGTTATTATAAGAAAATTAACATATGGACAATTTTGACCATTAGTGCATAAATTTTCTTTCTGATGAATAAATTCTCCCCCAAATTCGAATCAACTGAAATGAAGCAAATCTTAATTTCTCGACTCAAAAGTATATATGTACATTAGGATATATATATATATATAGGAACATTTGGAGCTATATGGTAGAGCTGAATTTGGTTTTAGTTGACGGGTTAGTCACCCTCTGTCGCAGAATATACGCCGTTGGTCCACAATGGCATTAAAATTACCGCGGAAATTCAATTCCCAACTGAAAATGTATCGCGCTCGTGTGAATTGCGACGTGTGTAAAGGGAAGACATGTACACCCGTAGCCACAGATGCTCTCTCATTTACGTGTGCGTGGAAGCTATGTACCAACCTACGAGCAGCATAGCTTATGTTGGTTAGTTAGCGTGCAAGTACACGTATCAAAGGCACTCAGAATCCGAGCTTAACAAAGCCAGCTTCGAGCTTACCAAACCGTGTCACGTAGAAACGTGTATACCTTACCTGCTCACGCTTCGCGAGACTCTATACATATATACACACCCCTTCTACCCCCTTTACCTCTTCAACCCCTTCATCCTTGGCTGCCTAACTTCCAAGCTTAATGCGCGAGTAGAGACGAGCCAAAGATAAGTGGGGATGAGTTCCTATACGGGCAACAATTAAAACTAATTTCCAACCTTCCATCCCTTATACGACGACCCCTGTTATCCTGCAGAGTAATCCTATACCCTAAGTAAGTGATACACTAACTTCATTGCTATGAAACTATTTTGTCCCAAATTATATACTATCAGTAGTTTTTCTTCACGAGATTCTCGTTTTTATTTTTATTGATATTATTTTAACCAAAAAGTTAGCAAAGTGTTTTATTTAGTCTAGCTTATCTACTACAGCCTCCGTATGAGTGCGAAAAATTAATCCTAGAAAGGAATACCTGACAGTATTCAGTTTATTTTTCGTTCTTCGGTATTGATTCAGTTGGTCTTGTCAGGAGGTTGGTTTTTAATTGGATAACTTCATTAAAGAATTTTTTAACTTTAATTTTTACTTCCTTTCAAAAAGAAAATATAAAATTTTTAACCCATACACTCTTATATCCATTTATGTATAATATTTATTATATTATTATTATAAATAATAAAACAAAAATGTTAATCATCAAGTAGAAGAAAAATTAAAAGCTGAATTGTACAATAGTACAATTTCAGTGAAAATTAATTATTTAAATTAATCATGCAATATTATTGATAAAACAATAAAAAATGTTAATCATCGAGTAGAAGAAAAAAAAAAACGCTGAACATTGGTGCCTAGTTCAATTTCAGCAATAATTAATTATTGAAATGAATAATTTCCATATTAATAATAAAATAACAAAAAAGTTAGTCATGAAGTAGAAGAAAAAGAAAAAGCTTAAAAAAAGTTAATGATAGAAAAGAAAGTAAAGCTTATTTAGTAAATATTTTAAATTTTATCGAAATTTCATATAATTTATTTTTAACAGAATTTTACTTTTATATTTGTCCAATTGACGTAATTCATAAATTATCACATTCTAAAAATGTCTGATAATCAACAATATGAATGAGACTAAAAATAAATATATATTATTATTTTTATAAATGACCCTAAATTATTATTATTTGTAGGGTGTGTATGAATAAAAAAAAAAAATTCTTATAAAAGGGGAAACTAACTTTTATTCGTCGTTAAAATTTATACTTTTAGGGACATATTATACAAGTTAGCTGAAAACTATAATTAAAAATTGATCTAGGCACTAGGGGA